ATAGTATATCATTTTTAACTATTTCCCTATTGGTGGGCATTTTAGGTTGTTTCCATTCTTTTTACGGTTATAAACTTTGTGCATTTGTGCACTTATTTCTGTAAGATACCAAGAAGTGTAATTGCTGGGTCTGTTGCATTTTGATATTTTAAGATTTTTATCATTTATAATCTCTGAGCCAAATTTCTTTTATTATAGGACAAAGCAGTGATAGTGAAGATCTTCCTGTCCTAGACAATTCAAGTAAATGTACCCCAGTAAAGCATCTTAGTGTATCCAAGCCTCAGAAACTTACACGATCTCCTGCAAGAATATCCCCTCACATCAAAGATGGAGAGAAAGATAAACACAGAGAAAAACATCCGAACTCTTCCCCTAGGACATATAAATGGAGCTTTCAACTCAGTAAGAAGCTTATAGAAAACCTGATAAATGTATATTGTAATGTGGAATATACCTTAAAATGTCAACTTGGATTAATGTTAATAAAATAAGAAATAATGATTAAAAAATTTAGTTAGCTATTCCAAATATTATCAATAATAATGACTTGTTATCTTAAATACAAATCTGTATCTTTTCATAACACTGACTTGCTAAATATTAACTAGAAGAGGATCTCCAGTTAAGAAATAAAATTATGATTACAAAGGCAAAAAAAAGAAAAAGAAAATCATGTTATGATTTATATAAATCAATGAAACTGAAGTGCCTTTTGTAGTACTGACAGTTGGAAATAACTAATTGAAGAAAACATCTATGCAAACTAACAATTGTGATAAATAACTATAATTATAGATCAGGTTGCTTTGTGTTGATTTTTTTTTATCTTTTTCTGATCATTTAAGTAATGTGTGTTTAGTATAGAAAATTTGGGATATAAAAAGAACTCTTAATCATCAATTCATGTACTTCCTGTTTCTAGAGCCTAATTTAGCTTAATATAGTTTTTTAATTTAATATAATTTTTATAATAGGTATGTTTTAATAAACTAAAGATTTTGTTGATATATAAGTTAGACTTTTGATAGAAATGCCATCTTTTTTTCTCATATAATTATTTTAAAATCTAAATTAACTTTTTCCCCCTTAAGATGAATTAGATAATATGAACAGTACAGAGAGAATCTCATTTCTTCAAGAAAAACTACAGGAAATCAGAAAATATTACATGTCTTTGAAGTCTGAAGTTGCAACCATAGACAGGAGGAGAAAGAGATTAAAAAAGAAAGACAGAGAAGGTAATTTTATTATAATTTTTCTCCCCTTATTTTTCAAATATATATCCTCTCATTTTAGAAGATTTAAGTCTGTTACTCTTTAACTATAGTACACATTCATTAATTGCTGTTTTTAAATACCTAATGTTTTCTTCTCTGTTGCTATTGTTGAAGTGAGTGGGTCAATGAATTAGAGTGAGACCCTTGAAAATGAGTATGAACTGTTTCACAGATGAGTGATTTTACTAAATGTGGTGGGTTCTCAAGTAGAGCTTACTCCTTCTGAATGTTTGCTCAACAAACATTTATTGGCTGCCTATTAGGCACTATGTTTGTTATTATGAGGTTCACTAAAATAAATAAGGCATAAGGCTTATCGTCTAGATTATCTCGTTGGGATTATAAGTCATTTCCTAAGCAACTACAGTTTAAGGTAGCACAGCTCAACAACTTTAGTGAGTATGTACCATGTGCCAGGCACTCTGCCATGTGGTAGAAGTACAGAGATGAATTAGTTACAGACTTTGATCTCAAAGATCTTGACACATAGTGGGACAGTGTGTGCCCTAAGAGTGATATATTAACAAGTAAGTACAGGAGTTAATGAAAGGAGAGGTAACTCTGAAGTAACCATGGAGAGGGAGTAATGTCTGAGCTAGACCTTAAAAATTCATAGGACTGACTTCTAGTTAAACATGGACATGCTCATATCCATGATGAGCATGGGATGGCCTCAAGCCCCACTAAAATAACAGTAAAGGAAATTAAAAGCCTTATGTCCACAAGGACAAGAGAATGAGACAGCTGACTACAGCACATAAGAAATGTTAGCAGGCCAGTGTGGTGGTGCACACCTGTAGTCCTAGCTATCTGGGAGGCTGAAACAGGAGGATCCCTTGAGCCTAGGAGTTGGAGGTTGCAGTGAGCCATGATGACACTACTACATTCCAGTCTGGGTGACAGAGCAAGACCCTGTCTCAAACAAAAAAAAAAAAAAAGGAAGGAATGTCAACAGGATCTTTTGGAAGCTGAGCATCAGATGGACCATTGTAACTGTTCTAGCAGGTGAGACAATGCCAAAACCTAAGCTTGCTTGTCCTTGCAACAGGACAAAATGAAAAGTAAGTTAATTAATACCATATAATGCCAAAACAGCTCTCAAGGGAGGGATACGGGATGACGCTGAAAAATGGAGTTTGGTTGAAAATGGAAGGAAAAATTGGATCCTCTCCTCCTGCTCTGTGAAGCAAGGCTACCTCTCTCCCCAACTCTAGCAGAAAATAAGAGATTAACTTCATAGAAGGTGAAGGGAATCAGTAGGCTTAAAGACTCAGGGACACCAGCAATAGCTGAAGGTAAGGGTTAAGTGGATGGATGGAGTGAAAGTCTACATACTGACTGGTTAGACTACTGTCCTGCTTTCCAGTCCAAGATCTAATCCTCTTGGCTCCTTGAAAGCCGGCAGCCAAGCATATACTCATTCTTGGGAGGAAATTGGAGGATTCTTCTAAAGAAAATGACCAACCCAAGAAAAATGACCTAACATTTGGGCGTTCCTGAACCAAAAAGCAAGATCCTTGCCAATCATTACATGTGCATTGCCCATATTGAAAAGTCCTGCTGCTCATATACAGCTTCTAGTCAGCTTTCTCATGTTCCTCTCTTAAATATGGAAGTCACATGACTAGATATTTGAGGAAAGCCTTTATATAATGACAGAAGCCAAAGAAAAATAGAATAAAAAGGAATTTGGAAAAAACAGACAGTATACCATATTTTAAAAAAAGCACAAAATTATAGCCGTTAGTTAACACAGGTTGAGTATCCCTTATCCAAAATACTTGGGACCAGAAATGTTCTGGATTTTTTCAGATGTTGGAATATTTGCATTATACGTAATGAGATATCTTGGAGAGGGAATCCAAGTCTAAACACAGCATTCATTTATGTTTCATACACAGCATGTACACATAGCCTGAAGTTAATTTTATATAATATTTTAAATAATTTTGTGCATGAAACAAAGTTTTTGTTACTTGTGTGTGGAATTTTCCACTTGTGGCATAATGTCAGCACTCAAAAAGTTTCGGAATTTGGAACATTTCTGATTGCAGATTTTTGGATTAGGGATGTTCAGTTTGATAAAGGAAAAAATACTACAACCTTGAAACAAAAGTATGGCTACTATTTTAAAAATTCAGAGAACAAGAAGGATCTCTTAAAAATATGATAGCAGGAATTTTTTTTAAATTCCTTGAAAGGATAGACAGTAAAGCTGAAGAAATCCCAGTAGAGGGTCAAAGATACAATAGGAGAAAAGAAATAAGAGAAATATAGGATCTGGCGAAAAGATCCAACTTCTGAATCATAGGATTTCTAGAAAGAAAACACTGAATAAACATAGGAGGAAGTTATCAAATACTACTTTAAAAATTCCAGAACTGAAGGATATGAGTTAAAAGATTGAAAGGATTTGCTGTACCCTCTATAAAGAATGGGGGCGGGGGAAATCCAAAGCACATCATGAAATTTCAGAACCCTATGAATAAAGAGTAGATTCTAAAAGTTTACCATATAAGGTTCATACAAAAGAAATGGATCTCAGAACATCAGGTTTCTTATGTCACATTTCTCATTGGTAGTACTAGAAACTAGAAGCCAAGCTAAGACAACAACATGGGATCCGGCAAAAAAGGAATCAGTCCTACATAGGAAAACAGTAAAGGAAAATCAGGAGGTGATGGTGAACGGAAGCTGTAAGATGACCATTACATAGCGGGCCTAGAAAGCAACTATTCCAGGAATAGGATGGAATTGAAGGGGAGGGCCCCAGGAGGATGTCTCTTAAAAAAAATAAAAGGTAAATTACTTGATAGCCTTGACCACGTTGAGAGAAGTTTTCTGCCTCTGGCAGAGATTCAGGGGATGAATTACAGATAGAATGACCTGTGTCATGTGTGGTCTTGAATCATTCTACTCCAAGTCCAGCAGTTTTTAGTTACTGGAAATAACTAAATGGCACAAATGGAAAGAGATTAGACTTTCCATGTTTGTCCTTTCCTTTTAAAAACTGTAAATAGGCCGGGCTCGGTGGCTCACGCCTGTAATCCTAGCACTCTGGGAGGCCGAGGCTGGAGGATCGTTTGAGCTCAGGAGTTCGAGACCAGCCTGAGCAAGAGCGAGACCCCGTCTCTACTAAAAATAGAAAGAAATTGGCTGGTCAACTAAAAATATATAGAAAAAATTAGCTGGGCGTGGTGGCGCGTGCCTGTAGTCCCAGCTACTCGGGAGGCTGAGGCAGGAGGATTGCTTGAGCCCAAGAGTTTGAGGTTGCTGTGAGCTAGGCTGACGCCACTGCACTCTAGCCTAGGCAAGAGAGACTCTGTTTCAAAAAAAATAAATAATAAATACAAAAAATTAAAAATAAAATAAAAACTGTAAATAGCAAGGAGTCTTTATGGAACTTTTGAATATAAAAAGAAGAAAAAAGCAAATTAACAAATTGAAATTTCTTCAGAGAACCCTCCACTGCTTTAGTTTCTTTCCTAAAGGTGACACAAGTTTCAGACAACTAGAAAGTTTTTTTTTAATTATAGTCTTCATCCCTTTTTTATTTTCTTAATTTTTTGTAGGGAATTATTAAGTTGAGATATTGAGTGATTTCAAGCATGCATAGAAGAAATTGTTATAATGATACTTGAATAAACAAAAATTGAAACTTTAAATAAAATAAAAGCTATCAGGCAAAGATTGGCAGGAGACAGGAGAGTTTTGCAAGGAAAGAGAAGATAAATGCAAAAGCTGAAAAATGGCAAAGCCCCTAATGCATAGGGTAGTGATCCTTAATTTGTGTTATGTCCTCCCAGAGAGATTTATGTTAAAGCCATTTGAGAACTTTTTTTGTTATTACACACCCGTACTTCCATTCTGATCTCTGTTATTCTCATACTTGACAGTTACAGGGAATTCTCTGGGTTAAGTGAATTCTGTTATGATCCTATGACTCAGAAATAAAGCAGAAATTATCTATGGTGAGAATTTATCTCAGGTTGACTTTGTTTCTGATTTGGGGCAAGCCAAGTTCCTTCTTGGGATCTTCTAAGTAGGGGTTTAAAAGTTTATCTGTCTTGAATTTTAATATTTTATGACATCTCTTAGAGAAGGGGTCTCACTCTGTCACCCAGCTGGAGTGCAGTGGCCCAATCATAGCTCACTGCAGCCTCGAACTCCTGGGCCCACGGGATCTTCCCACTTCAGCCTCCTGAGTAGGTAGGACTTACAGGCATGCGCCACCACACCCAACTAATTTTTTTATTTTTTGTAGAGACAGGGTCTCAGTGTTTCCTAGGCCAGTTTCGAAGTGATCCCAAAGTGCTGGGATTACAGGTGCAAGCTACCACCCTTGACCTTATGATGTATTTCTTGAACTCTTAAGTCACTTAACTGACCAAAGATTAATTCCACTTAACAAACAAAATTTTTGTTGACAATTTGTTATTCCTTCATGCAACATTTAAGAAGCCTATATGATTGGAGTGAATAATGTTAAGAATTTTATTTCTAACTTGCCATTAGATAGGTATCTTTGTGTAATAGTTTTTGAGTCTAATGTAGTTATTTTCATCCCACAGTGTCTCATGCGGGAGCCTCCATGTCATCTGCTTCATCGGACACTGGAATGAGTCCCTCATCATCATCTCCCCCACAAAATGTACTTGCTGTAGAATGCAGGTGATAAACATTTTCTCTGCCTTCCCAGCAGTTTGCTGCCATGGACATAAATCCCAAAACCCTAAAATACAACCACAGAAAGCACTCAACTGGTTTGACATTGCTAAGTATATCCTGTATACTTTTCCAGGCTGGATTGTATCTATTCCCTTCTCTCTTCTTTTTTCTTGTTGCAAAAAAATAAGCTGATTAATAAGTGAAGGTGAGGCAGCCTGCCATATTTGTCATAATTTTTCCTCTTCTTTTTTCATTTTTTGTGATATAGAAAAAAGGGCACTTAGCAAATTTGAATTTGTATAATACAGCTTTCAGGTGTTATAGAAATCATAGACAAGCAAGTGCACATGATAAACATCAAAATATTATCCAGCTGAATAGTTACTGCTGCACTTTCACTAAGATGTATTTGAACACTTGGTGAGTAGGGGGTTTATGTTGTGTTTTTTTTTTTAATTGTTGTTTTTTTATTTTTGTGGAAGCACTTGCTATTTAGAACTGCCAAAGTATATGTTCAGCAGTGTGCCCAGGTTTAAAGGTGTAAATGGGACAAAATAAATTGTGAAAGGAAGTGTAGTTGACTGAAAACTACAGTTGTAATAAGTCTTCCACTTTTTATAGGATTTTTGAGCACACAATTATGCAAATATTTTAATGTTATTAATGTTTACAGTGGAATTGTGAATAAGTTTTCAGTGGACTATCTTATCCCTTGACAAAAATATTTTGTCTTTTTTCTATGTAATTTCAGAGTTTTTATTTTGTTACAAAAAGACAAAAATGAAATATATAACAACAATGAAGTTATTTAACAAGATTTCTAAAGCTGAAAATTTTGTGTAAAATAAGGTATTATCTTGCAACTTGTTAAATATATTTATTCAGACATTGGATGTTGTATTTTTATGTATTTTTTAAAATATTAATAAAATTGAAAAAAAGAAAATTCTAGGTTAATTCACTCTTTGGATGACAGTAGCTCTCAGCTGTCCCTTTTACAGGAGGTTGCATCCAGCAGCCTTGCTTGTACTGAAGGGGGTCTGTCTCAGTCCTTCAAACAGTATAGATCTATAAATGGGCATCTGGATCATTAAAGTATGTCCTTGTTTAGAAACTTTGGCAGTCCTAGTATTTAAACTGTTTTAAGGATCAAATTTTTGGTTGCCCTTAAGATACTTTGTCACAGTTTTTATGTTTGCTATACTGCCGAATAAATTTATATCTCCCAAAGTTGAGATACAACAACTAAGTAAAGCAACTATGTATGCTTTGTCTGTGAATTGTTCCACAGACTGATACATTTTGTAAATAATTCTTCAAAAATCATGTATTTAAAGCAGTTTTGCATATATACATTATGTAAAAAGGTGATTTTTTTAAAAGCAATTTTTAAATTCATGTTTGTACATTGAAAGGGGTTTTTTTTAAACCTCCTTTTCTGTGTTTAATATGCTGTAGAGTAATAACCTAGATGCTCTGTATATCAGGATCTGATTTACAAGAACAAAGTCAGAGCTAAACACTAGTGATGGCATAGCATTACTGAAATCATTGTTTCTTAATTTCATTTTACCACATTGTGAACTTGTGAGTCAGATTCCTTCCATTTTCTCAGAGAATTAAAAACAAAAACGTACTCTTGTAAAATGCACTTTTCTGTCTTTTCTTTGCAAAGCAGAAGTATTTCAATGTAAAATAAAAATGGAGCTCAGCGGGCAGTATTAATAAAGGCCATGTTTTAAACATAGGCTTTATATTTTTAGTTTTCATTTAAGTGATGCTTTTTCTGTAAGTGCCAGTAACTTACAGTTGGAAAATCCAGTTTCATAAAACAAGCATTCAGTATATTCTTCACAACCTTTACAATAAAATATTTCTAGTACTTAATTATAAAAATGAAAAAATGTCATTCAAGTCCGGTTGGACCGAGGAGGCAACCTTAGATTTATAAGTTAGATATTTTAATGCTTTCCTTCAGTACCAATTTAGTAAATCTGCGATAACTAAGTTATCAGCTTAAGTAGTATCCCTTCTAATTGATATAAATTTTTTAATGAAGTATTGGGATGTTGCTAACGGGCAATAAATCTGTATATTCATTGTATAGGTATGTAGACACTGTTAAAATCCTTTCATTTAGAGGTTGGAAAGGATTATGAAATTAAATGAATGTTGACTAGATATGACAATTCAAATATTGGGTATATTTTGAGTTTAGCTAAATTTTGAATAGATAGCTCTTACATGTGACTAAGAGAGTAAAAGTATAAAGGTACTCCTTAATATAATATAATTGAAGGTGTTCTCTATAAAATTCAGTTATTTAAAGATTATGGAGCTTTCTGTTTTAGTATTCCATTGTGTGCTCTTATTGTTTGTTTTATGTTAAATTTCTACTTTTCCTAGCTTTCACTAAGAAAGATGGTTATACTTAGCACATTTTAAAAGACTATTACGTGCTATGTCTTCTATGAAATAGCTTTAAATTATGAAAATCTATATGGATTAACCTATTAATTTGCTTATGTACTACCTTCTTATAAGCCTTGTAATTTAACATAGCTATCAAAATTGTGAAAGCATTTGAAACTATATTCAACCACACATAAAACCTATTACCAGAATTCATTCATCAACAATTTATTGAGTATCTTCTACGTGTCAAGCATTATGCTAAGGCCCAGGAGCCACACAGTGAACAAGACAGAAAAAGATCTCTCTCTTCATGGAATGTATAATCAAGGTATATGAGGCAGATGTTAAACAATTAACTCAATACTTAGCTGCAGGTGTGATAAGCATATGAAGTTCCGGTGTGCCATGAGATAATGATATAGAGCTCAACTAGTTTGAAGGTAAGGGTGGTCTGGGAAGGCTTTGCAGAGGAAGATGACAATGAGCACCAGTGAGGATTATGAATTGGCTAGGGAATGGGATGGGAAATACGGGAAGAGTATTGTGTTCCAAGCACATGGGGGAGGAGAGATGGGTAGAAATGAGCCAGGTAATGAGCCAGGGCAAGAGAAAACCTGAGGCAGGAACCAGGTCAAAAAAGGCCACTCAGGCATTGCTCAAACCTTGAACTTGCCCACATCTGCCTCTTGTTTCTGTTCCCCCACCAGTCTCATCTTTACTTGTCCAGAGCTGTCTCAAGAGACACTTTTCCATGAAGCTTTTGCTGACTTCTCACCACCACCAGAATATTGCCCTCTTTTATGTTCTGATAGCTTTTCATTCTGTGTTATTTTATTTGACAGTTTACCTTGTATTATGTTTACTTGTGCATTTGTGTTTCTACCCTACCAGATGATTAGGTTCCTAAATGCTCCTAAGTCACAAGTGTATCCCACAAAGTGCCTGGTTCAGCATTCAACACACAGTAAGGTGGTCAAAAACTGTTTAATTAAATTGCAAAAAAATACTTTCAATTGCTATTGTTTGTTTTTTATCAGTGTTCCTTATGTACAAAGCTAGGCATTTAAAAAAGGTCTTTGGGGTTCTTTTCACAAAGTGATAATGTTAAAATATCATTTGGAAAGTATTAAACTAGACTTATTTAACAGTCTGATCTTCAACTTAAAATATTCTTAAATTGATGAGTTATTTTTCCTTCTCTCCCTGTTTGTTCTACCCTCTCCCATTACTCTCATGTGGTTATACATGATTTTTATCTCATTACAGGAAGAGTACACTAAGTGATGGCATTCATCATTAGTAAAGGTTGAATGACTCTTAGAGTACTAATGAGGAATTTTTAACAAATACTTCCTTAGTGTTTTCACAGAGCATAATATTTTTTTAGTCCTTTAAATTTTATTACAGAATCAAATGATGTCTTCCATGTTAACAAGCACAAAAAACCTTTTTTTATTCATACAAATCCCTTTATGTATCTCTTTAAACAGAACAAGAAGGACAGTGTTTATGATTTTGGTATTTGTAGTTATTATTAGGAAGCCATCATTATTTTATAATCTGTGTCATGCAGAATTCATTTTGAAAGTTCTATTGTGAAAAGCTTAAGGAACTTCCGTATAAATATAATGATTCTGCACAAGTAATTGGATTTCTTCTCAAGGCTAAATTACATTAAACAAGGCAATCTGATTCAAGAGTCTCACCAGTTTAGGGTTACCATAGTAAGCAGATAAAAATACAGGATACCTAGTTAAATTTGAATTTCAGAAAAACAACAAATAATTGTTTAGTATAAGTATATCCCATGCAAAAAATGTTATTTATTCCAAAAGAATCAATCTAAAGCAAATATGGCAAAATACTAAGATTTGATAAACTGAGTGTTGATCTTATTCTCTCTTCTTTGCTATGTTAAAGTATGTTTAGTAAATTTTAAAAATATCCAATGAACTCTTTCAAAATAAGATGAAAATAATTGGTAGAACTGAGTGCCCTATTAGTGAATTGAGGTCCATTCATACTATCTCAACCTTATGAAAGAAGCATTGTTATTTTATTTTGACACATGAGAAAACAGGTTCCAAATGGTCAAGAGAGAGTGGTGAAGTGGTGAAGAATTAGGACTCAAACTCATTACTTTTGATTCCTTAGTCCGGTTTTTGTTCCATTACGTCAGTACTGTTGTAAGAAGCTTCTGTTCCCTGAGAGCAATGGTTGCATTCTTACAGAGACTGAGTTCTTGGGCCAGAACCCTTTATATATCACGTCAGTACTGTCGTAAGAAGATTCTTGGTGGGATCAATGGTTGCATTCTTACCAAAGTCTGAGTTTTGGGGCCAGGACCCTTTATGCATCAGAACGTTGGCAAGTCCCAATTTTGAGGAGCAGGAAAAATCACCAGTTTTATCTTTTAATCTCTCATTACTTCCCATTTCTCATTTTTCCTTTCAAAATCTGTCACAAGGTAAAATTAGGTGATGCCAAAATTTTTGGTTGACAAAGGTAAAATTTAGACAATCTCTTGATTTTTTTCCCCCATAATATTCCAAATAACAGATTGATTTACTGAACTAGGTTTTTTTTTTTTGTCTGAACAACATCCTTTATTTTAAATTGTAGATGATCTGGCATTTTAATAACTTCTGAAGTTTTTGAGTAATGTATTTTAATTGTAGAAATGTTAAAATATAAAAGTGAGTTAAAACTAAAAATTACAAATTAAATACTCATATATAACTACTGTTAACATTTTGGCATATGTACTTCCATGTCTTTTGCTATGTGTATAAAAATATCAAACTTCATACATAAACACCCTAACTTTTT